GAACAAAAACCCATCCCCCATGCACCCCCGGGCCACGCACCAGAACACGGGATTCGGGGAATTTTTTAGAGAGGTTTTCTTCCTCGCGGTCCGGGCGTTTAAAGCCAAGACCCTAGCCCCCGATCAGAGCCGTGAGGACTTGACCACAGCGCTCTTCTCGGGATTACGATATGCCGACGGTGACAGGGAGACTACGTCCCCCTGCCTGCTCGGTGGTAGTGTCAGTACATGCCGAGCCCGTCCTCCTTTCTCCACCGCTATCAGCGGAGAAACTGGCCCCTACAGGGCCCCACCTTCTGGTTTTTTATCGAGGTTTCCTCCTCCATGCTCCGAAGAGCGAAGAGCCAGCAGGGCAACCGGCAGACACGCCCACCCTGCTGGACCAGGCCTTGCCCGAGAGCCGATAAACGGCTTCCTCTTCTGCTAGAATATTAGCCGCTGGCGATAATCCTCTCCTCCAAGTGTACAAGGAGAAAACAGTGCCATCGCCAGCGTTTCCAGGGTGCACCACGGGGAGGTTTTCTAGCGTAGCACCCCGAATAGGGTCACCCTTTTTTTTTTTTTTTTTAACGTGTGGAAATAGTCTTTTATTTTAAAGTCAAATTTGTACTTAACTTCATTCCTGTCATTGCCTCTAATTTGATCGCAATTTATATTTCTCGTTTCCTCAGCCGAAGGAATCATCCTCCAATAACATTGTTTTTTTCTTTGCTTTCTTCTTATTCTTTTTCTTCTGTGTAGGATTGGTATCTGTCCCAATTATATTTTGGGTAATGCTTTTCGCTCTATCTGGTATGTTTTGTGCTCCATTATTCTTCCTCACCACAGTACTATACGTTTCATGACATATTTCAGAGCATTCTGTTATCATTTCAGATGTATCTTGATTATGTTCTTAATCTTGATTTACTAGTTGTTGTGTTTCTTCTTTTTTATTAGTTATGAATTTTTGTAAAGCTTTCTATATGTGACATTTTCCTTGGCCATAGTCTCTCGAATATTTTTTTCTTTAAGATATCTAGGACATTGTTTATCCAATACGAAGTGTGGGACCATTACAATTTAAGCATTTGTAATCTCTTACTTCACAATTATCATAATTTGCCGCCACATTTCGGGCATATTATTCTTTTAGACGGACAAAATTTCAAAAAATGACCAAACTGCCAACGTCGGGAACACTGGGTCACTGGAAATACAAACGGGTCTACTGGAAATCGGCAACTGTATGCATGTACATAACGCACCTTCAGAACAAAAAACGCCATAATTAAAAAAAAAACGAGAATTGAGTAGTAGTCCGCATAAAATGACTTTAAAACGAAATTCTCAACGTTACAATAGTTCAAATATAGCCATATTCGGGCGGGAACAGGACAAAAGTGTTATAACGGTCTCTTTCTTACGTGGCAAAATGCGAGGCCTCATCGGGGTTGAAACGACGCAGTTAGTATTATGTTTGCATCGCTAAGTGCAGAACGTCGCCGAGTCAGTCGTCTAGTGACCGAAAGCTTATTATGTCGTTTTCATTCCAAAACAATTGGTAAGTTCTCTTTCGATTGTTAATATGAAAACGACCACTTTAGCTTTGCGATTGTTTTGTTCCGATTTATAAAGTAAAATTAGTGGCTAATTCAGATTTGTCGCATTTTAGTATTAAAGTCATCTATAATTCCGATAACGGATTTATGTCGTTTTAATAATAACTTACGATTAATATTTGATACTAAATTTGACCTATTAGAAATCGAGTCGTTTCTTTATTCATCAAATTATTTTTATTTGTGTCTCATTGATTATTAGACCATTTATTTATTTTTTTCTAGATAAAAGAGAAGACGCATCGGTTAATGTGCCACTACACAATTACTAATCTAGCAAGGTTTTAAGAAAAGGTCAATAAATTAAAATTATAAAATGAAAAGGAGAAAGGATATTATAATGGATAATGCATTAAGAAACGTGAAAAATTACAAAGCCAATGAATCCAAGGTATGTCGTATGAACAAAATATACTTAGTTGCAATTCTTGTAATTAAAATACTTAATCCTGTGCAAATTATATTTTTAACTTTTTATTAATTTTAACTGCCACGGTTTTTGTTTCATTAGAAACTACCAGATAGCAAAAAATTAAGAGAAATTGTCCCGTAAATCAACTGAAATTAGATATTTTCCAAAAGAAAAGACTCAATAGTTGTGATGTCATGAGTCAGATTGAAATAGTAAGCAATATTTGCCAGCCATTGGAAACAGTTTGACCTTGAGAACGCTTTTATTTCCTTATAATGTTTTATACTTATTATAGATTAACAATTTATCTTCTGCCACGAATCGCCGGCGACTGAAATGAAAAACCAAAAAGAAAACTCAAATCCAAATTCTGCAGTTAGTAAACAATCACTGATTAAAATCACAAAGAACGACAATATTTCTGGCAATTATCACTGTAAAATTGTAAGTGAAACATTATTTTCATCTAGCTAAACAAACTTACCAACCACAGAAAGCTATAGTTGGTTTTATGATTTCAGGATTCTTCAATCAAAAATGATATGGTAGAGAACTTGTCTTTAAATTCCTCATCGTTTATTGAAAACTCCCCACAGTGTACACAGACTGATAACATCAACATTTTTACCTTGACTCATTCTATAGAAACGGTAAGTGAGAGCTATGTCTCTAAACTATAATTAATTCTATCATTGTGTATCAGTCAGTCGAGTTTGCCCCCTCTTCCATAAAAAAAGAGTGTACTTACCATATTAATCTACTTTACTTACCTAACGCTTTGGTCCTTTTTTCAGCAGCAATATGACACTTTAGATAAAGAGTCAATTCTTAATCAACACACACCCACCAGAAAACCTGTTTAGGGTAGGAGAGTATCCTCTTCGTAATCACCTCTCATATTAATGTGGATGGCGCGAGTACTAGCCAATTAGCTACAAGAAGTGGCAGAGCTATTTCCAAATCAAATTATTTCGCATCTCCTATCAATGGTCCTGAAAGTGACCCGGATCTAAGCGACGATGATCCCATCTTTCAAGATCCCAAAGACATTTGTCGTCACAGAAGTTTGTCCTCGTCTTCAACAGACTCAAAACCTGAAACACTCGAAAATGACACACAACAACCTCAACCACGAAAGTCAAGAAAAAGGCAGCGCAATCCAGCGTCTTGGAAACAAAACATTACTAAGGGATTGCGCAATAAAGGAAAACCTTACAAGTCTTTATCAAAATCTAAAAAAGAAGTCCCTGCTCGTTGTATGAAAAACGCATGTGCTCCATGTCGATTAAAATGCCCTGACCAAATTAATGAATCCCAAAGAACTGCGATTTTTAATCATATTGGAACCTTGCAAGCATAGAATTTAAAAGATCCTTCATTAGTTCTTGCATGATGGAAGTCAAACCGAAGTATAAATATACCAATGCTGAAAAGCCCAGAGCCAAAGCCCAGAGCACCAAACAGTGCGTTTTTATTTACTGTAAGTGATAAAAAAATTCGAATTTGCTAAACATTTTTTATAAACACTTTGGATATAACCGAAAGACAGATAAGAACTACAAAAGCAAAAATAAGTGAAAACGGATTTATAGCTGAAGATCGAAGAGGAAAGCACATTAACAGGAAGAAAATCGACGAGACTATTATAAAAGATATTGAAAACCACATAAATTCAATCCCAAGGGAGAATCACACTACCTAAGAGCCTGCACATCTAGGGAGTACATTGAAGGAGGCAGGACTATAAAAGATCTTTGGAGAGACTTCTCAGAAGCAAGAGATCCAAATAAACCCAAAGTAGAGTACTGGCTATATAATCATATTTTTAATAATAATTTCAATTTAGGATTCTTTCAGCCTAAAAAAGATCGTTGTGATCTATGTTTGGAGTATGAAATAGCATCTATGGATCACAAAGTGAAGTTGAAGGAAAAATACGAAGGTCATTTGAAAGTGAAAGACCTTTGTCGGCTTGAAAAGAAGAACGACCGGAGAAATATTGGTGAAGAAAATATTTGTACCGTATATGATTTGCAGGCAGTCATGCAATGCCCTTTAGGAGTCTCAAGTTCTTTTTATTATATATCGAAACTCAACTGCCTTAATTTTACCATGACAGAGCTGGCTAAGAAATCTGACAAAGACATAAATAAAAGACAGGAAGTTGAAGGAAACCATGAACAAGACAGTACTAAAGAAGAAACTATAGGCGCTTATGGGGATATTTTTAATTACTTTTGGGATGAAAGGCAAGGAAAAAGAGGGGCAAACGAAATAGGATCGTGCATATTGGAATATCTAAACAATATCAGTATAAAATATCCTAATAAACAACTGAATATAATATTTTTTTCAGATAATTGCTGTGGGCAGAATAAAAACAGGTTTATTGCTTTACTCGTATATTGTGTCTAAATTTCAAAATATAATGAGTATAACTCACAAATTTCTCATTCGCGGCCACACACAGAACGAAGGTGATAACGTCCATAGCCTAATAGAAAAGGAAGTGAAAAAAAACCTTAAATCTGGACCAATTTACACATCTCATCAGTACGTTGCCTTGATAAAAAATGCTAAAAAGACGGGAAAACCTTTTAAGGTGCTGGAACTTTATTATGACTTTTTTGTTGATTTAAAAACCCTACATGACCAGTGGGTTATAATTTTAATGAAGACTATGAGCGTAATTTGGTGTCTTGGAACGATATAAAGATATTAAGATTTGTAAAAGACGAACCTTTTGTATTTTTCTTTAGAACTTCTTACACGCATGAAAATTTTAAACGTGTGAACATGAGAAATAAACGAAAACGAATGCCTAACATTGAAAATGTTGGCTCAATACCAAAAGCATACACAAATAAAATAGAACTAAGTGAAAATAAAAAGAAGGGATTAAACGAATTACTGCGGAAAAATTTAATATAGATAGTTCAACTCAGTTGTGCGCGCGGCCCTATGTGTGCGTGGGCTTGTAAATATACAACTTTCATTCGTGTGGCAGTCGTCGTCCGACTGCAGTAGTTGGTGAGTAAATTTATTTTCTTTCTAAAAGTGGGTAGGAGGTATCCTTTGTTTATATTGATTTTTCTCTGCGTGTTATTTATTTTTAAACCTGTTCCTTTTGAAATTGTTGTTTGGTGTGTCTTTGTTTGGCTATGTCGGTCGTTAGCGAGTTGCCGGACCCCGGCGGTACAAGTGAATTTCTAACACCAACCGGGAAAAGGACATTTATGGAAATGTCACCTACGGGTTTCTCGCCGAAAGACAGTAGCCGTAGGCGCGTTATTAATTCGGACTTAAGTGGTAATGTTTCGTCTCCTACTGGTCGTGATAACTGTGGGGAGTACAACTACTGTGACTTAGTATCACAGGCCACTGATTATTTGGCAAAAATTAATGAATTAGTTAATGATCAGGGATCTCGGATGAATGTAGGTTATTACCTACATTCATCCATACCATAATAATAATAATATAATAATATATCGTTTATTTTCTCACCAAAACCAAAATACATACAATGAAAATACGATTACGCTATAACATTTGACAATTTCGGTAGTGGATAGCTGGTGCCTGAGGTAGGTATAAAAACCTGTGTTACAGGACACCAGGTCCCCACTCGGACCTCGTCTTGACAATTCAAAATACCTTTGTGAGGTGGTTACAATATAGTTGTGCAAGAGTACAAAATTTAAGAAAAAAAAGAAAAAGAAACGAGCGGGAGTAGTAATAATTATAACATTAACAAAAACAGGGTGTGTGTGTGTGTGTGTATGTGTGTGTGTTAGTGTGTGTGTGTTTATGTATGTTTGTGTTTGCAGTGAGATTGGAGTTGTGAAGGAGTATATGCGTTATGTCTGCAAGCCCTACGACATGGTCTTGGGATCGGATCAGTCATATGACATATCCACTAGACTTACATATGTGCGCACCCCAGTTTCTGTAAGATTTATGTACAATGCATGTGTTAGTGTTTGATATGGAATGGATGCGCCAGTGTGTCACTGCAAGATCATTAATAGGTCCTCCGTCTCTTTATATGATTGCTTTAAGAGCCATTCTGAGATGATGGCTTTACATTGGTACGTATTAAGACTATGTAGGGACAAAATTTTGTGCAACTTTTTATACAAGTAGGGCCCTAGAAAAATAAAGAACCTACGGCTAAATGAACTTTTAACATGCAATGATGCGACCTCCAAACGATTACGGCGAGTATTATCAGAGGTGTAATAAGTTTGAGAGTGCTGTCTGAGAACGGTAGCTTTCACAAACAGTTGCCTCACTGTGAGAACTTGGCAAATTTCATAAAGCCTTTTAGTAGGGTACAGCCGAGGCTTGAAACAGCAAACCTTTAACACAGCTCTTTGGGCACGTTCAATCTGCAAGGTGTGAGATTTAGCTGCACCCCCCCATGTGGTAATGCAATAATTTAAGATAGATTGACATAGACCTGTATAGACCATTTTCATTACATGAGCATCAGCAGAGTGTCGAAGTTCTTTAAACATATAGATAAGTTTGCGTACTCTACTTGAGATATAACTAATATGATTTTTGAAAGTTAGGTTATTATCAATATAGATACCTAGATGTTTAATAGAAGTAACTTTTTCTATGAAATAAGAGTCACTACAAGGAGCATTATCAGGTAGGTTAAAGGTTATTTGTAGGGAAGTATCTAACGTATTAGGGGATCGGATAGAGAAGTCAACTACTTTGGTTTTGGTATTGTTTATCGTGAGTAGATTATTTCTTAGCCAATTATTAACCACATCGAAACCCTTTTGAGCGAAACGGTATGTATCCCTCCAATCATCTGATGAGAAAACCAGTGCAGTATCATCAGCATACGCGAAAATTGCTCCCTGGTCAAGTCCAATATTGCACAAATCATTTATATAAACCAGAAATAAACTTGGGCCCAGAATGCTCCCTTGGGGCACGCCGTAGGTTATGGGCGTTTCAGTACTAGTACAAGAACCGATTTTTACTAACTGTGATCTGCCCGTCAGATAACTACGAAACAGAGACAGTTGAGTCCCTCTAATACCTAAAGATTCAAGCCTATTCACAAGTATTTTTGTCGAGACCGTGTCGAAAGCCTTTGCGAGATCTAAAAATAATGCAACGCATTTCTGACCCTTGTCAAGTTTTCTGACTATAGAGTCCACCAGATTGTGTACAGCATCTTCGGAGGATAGATTCTTTCTAAAACCAAATTGGTTAACAGATAGTAGGTTACGATTTTCTAAATAATTAATAAGCCTAGAGTTAATAATTTTTTCTAAAATTTTTGACATTGCTGGTAGTACCGAAATGGGTCTATAGTTTTCCACACAGCCTCGATCGCCTGATTTGTGAATTGGATGGAGGAGCGCTCTCTTAAAGGACACCGGAAATTTGCCTGTTGTAATGCTCAGATTGAAAATATATGTGAGTGGGGTAACGAGAATGGTCCTGTATTTCTTTAAAAAGCCGGATGATATACCGTCCCATCCTACTGCACATTTGATTTTTAGAGACATAATCAACCGTTCCACCTCACATTCGTCAGTTTCAAGTAGGACAAAAGATTCCTTGGAGTTGAATTGGACGTTAGTAGAAGAAGAGGAAGAATCTCTGTGTATGCTCTCTGCAAGTTGCCTACCTATACCTGCGAAATAGGTGTTAATGCTGTTTATTGACTGCTGATAATCTTTACCAGTCTCAATTAGGTCTATCGCGCTTGATTTAGGAATACTTCTATTAGTGGCAGTTCGAATCACCTGCCATAATTGCTTACAGTTGTTGCCAGCTTTCTTAAATTCCAACCTCTCGTAATCTCTTTTAGCCTTTCTTAATATATTTGTGCAGTAATTGCGGTATCGTTTATAACTAATAGACAATATTTCATTCGTTGGTTGTTTTTTTATTTTTTTGTATAAGTTATCCCTATGTCGAATACACTTGAGTAGCCCCGGGGTAATCCATGGTTTAATAGGGCGTCGCCTACGAGACAACTTGAAAATTTTTGTATTTCGCGCTAAGGCAGAGAGAATAGGCTCAATGAATAGTTTCATTGCTAAATCGGGATCTTTAGCTTCATAGACAGACGCAAAGTTGATGCTACGAAGGTTATCGGAAAGATTGTTTTCATCGATTCTAGTAAACGTGGAACATACTTTATGGGTAGCCAATTTTAGGGACATGGTGAGTAACACTGCGAAGTGATCTGTAACAGTAGTTTCTAATACAAATACTTTACAGGGTAATATGGTCTTCAAGTTTATGTGGTCAAGGCATGTAGAACCGTGAGTTGGAAGGTCGTGCCCCAGGAAAAGACCATATTGAGCAAGAGTATCGAAATAA